AAGGTGAACAGTGGCGATGGGCGCTGCGGGGAGCCAAGGCGCAGTTCGGAAGGTGAGCGCGGCGGAGGCGGAGGAGCTCCTGGGGTAGCCGGAGCAAAAGGAGCTCGACAGATCCCCGGCAGGGCGTTAGCTTGCTCGGGGGCATTCGCCGTAGCGCGGCCAGTCCAACGTGGTGACACTCGGATCAGGCTGCCGCCGACAGCCTCACGTGAGGGGGTTTTTCCCTGTCAAACGCTGACTGTTAATTAAACCCGTCCTTGATACAAACCATTACCAGGTGGAAAGCGCCCTGACTGTCAGAGGAATCGCTTCTCGGCAGAAACTGGGAACGGTGGAGTCGGACTCGCTGTGGATTTGTCCGGGCATTTGTCACCCGCCATTATTTGTCTAAGGAAATGTGTTTGAGAATTTCCAGTTTTTCCTTAGATCTCGTGGTGGACTTTAGCCTTTTAATAAATGTTAGTATATCAGATCGTGTCCTTGACAGTATTTTACTTGTATGAACCATGATAAAACATTAAAATCTTCATACTCTTCAGGCAGAAGCGTCAATAAACGAGAAAGAGAAGCATAGCATACAATATATGTCAAAGTAACGTTCCTTTTTAGCTTTCTCATCAACAGTAAAAATGTTTACAATGTATGCCAAGATCTTCAGTTTCTGTCTAACACCGGTTAGAGGTTCTGATCTTAACAGAAATTGTGTTATAATGGCCTCAGCCTCGTTGCTAGGAAACAATAGATCCCAATTTTTTTATTCCTGCTCTAACTCCTGTGCTGAATAGTGACTGGATACTGTACAGGTTTATGTTATATGGCTGCAGTTAAATGGTCTGATGCATTTTGCTCTGGGTTTCAGACCAGAAGCATGCATTTTCTACAAGAACATCCCAGCAACACGCTGTAAATATTAAAAGTTAATATATTATGTGTCGATATTTGAAAAAGAAAGTACTTTGACTATTTCATTTTTAAAAAATAAAGGTGCAAACTGATGGCGTGGGACGTTGTCTTTGTTTACACCGTTTGCATTTGGGATATTCTGGGCACATCAGTAAAAGGTGATTCCATACAGCTGAATAAGGGCTTCAGACAACATCGGGCGATTCCAAAGTTGGGGGGGCAGCAGGTTGCTAGCAAGATTTAATTTTACTTCTGATTCACCAAAGTTCATGCATATAACTGCAGGGTTCACTGCAGGTGAAATCACAGGCGGTTTCTGCACACAAGTTAGTTACTGCATTTCATCAGAACAAATGGGAGAGAGAAAAAAAAAAAAATTTCTGCTAAATGCCTTTGCACTCCCAAGAGCCGAGTGGGTGAAGGCGACGGTGGAGGTCGGGGACGAGGAGCAAAGTTTAAGTACCTGCGGGTTCTGTAGGGCTGCATCAAATAGATGATGAACAACTGTGTGTATGAACAAAAGTGCGCGTGAGGAAAAATAAAAAGCCCAGCACATGCAGCAGGTAGGAGGAGACAGTGAACTGGAGGGGCAGAAGGAGTGTTTAAGGCTAAAGGAAAGGGTACGTGGTGAAAAACAGATCGGAGCAGCTGGGCTGGGCAATAACCGGGCGTCAGGACTGAGGCTGGAAGAGCTGTGTTGGATGGAGAAGAAGGAGGCGAGGCCAAAGGGCTGCTCTAGCAGGAAAGGGAAGCAAACCCACCTGGGAGACGGTATTGATTTCATGCTGCAGGAGGCCTGTCACAGCCGTAGCCGGGGAGGAGGGGAGAGCTGAGCCGAGACAGACCCAGCGCTGCGGCAGGATTAGTTGCTGCAGAGGAGCGAGGTTGCCTTTGCCGGAGAGAAGGATCTGAACGGACCTGTAGCTCTTCAGACCTGAGTCAGTGCATGAAATCTATACAATTTCCATATTACTGTTCCCGTAACCAAACATCGACTCCTTGTCCCACAGGTGCCATGAGCTTCTCTCTCTGCTTCCACCTTGTTTAAGCCCATAGCAATTCCAGACCCTTGGGTACCCAAAAGAAACACCACAAACAAGTCTCTGTCTTAGTAATTTGCATCAGAAACTGAAATGACATTCTCAGCTTGAAACAAAAATGGCCTCTTCAGGCCTATTTTATGTATTTTTTAGAGGAACAATGCACTGCTGGAGTCATCCATAGTCAAACCAGTTATCCTCAGCTCGCTGCACTGCAGAGCGGCCGTGCGGCTGCTGCTCTTGTGCCACAGGGTTTGCACATGCGGCACCGACAGCCTCAGCCTTTGCTTGAAGTCAATAGGACATTTCTATAGGAAACAGCCCTTGGGCAAAGTGCTTCCCGCTACATTTATCCCCACCACGGTGCAATCATCTGCCAGGGACTGTTTCCAGGCAGACCCTTTCCTGCTCCCAGGAGGGACCAGGTAGACCAGGAGTTTAGACCCAGCCCGTAGAAAGCCAAAGGGCTGTCCTGGGAAGCCTGGGGGGCACAGGCGCACTCGGCCAGTGGGTTGGCTTTGGGGAAGGATGGTTTGCAGGAGCACAAAGCCAGAGAGGAACGGCCAGGGACCAGCCGCTGCGGACATGTAGCAAGCCAGGAAACATGTAAGGCTCAGAGGAGGAGGGAAAGGTTCAATGGGCACAAGCGACAGCAAAGCAGCCGGGGCTGCGGACCTTGTGCCTCTGTGGCTGGCATTTGCTGAATTATGGAACGATTCAGAAAACAGCTTTTAAATATTTTATTAAAGAGTAAATCATGCTGGATCGGCCGCTGCATGGCACTATATTAAGACCCTTGTTTCAACTAAGAAGCATAGGTAACAAGGAGGCACAGAGCAACACACACACACACACACACACACACACACACAGAGTGTAAACTATGTGGTGACTAATCGGGGGGGACAGGACATTTCACTGCAAATGAAATTTGGTCTTCATTTGGACAGAAACTGAGTAATGAACTGAAATTGTCATGTCACAACTTTGCAACAGTATTGCCCACAGATCCCTGTTACGATGGGGCTGTTTATTTATTGCATTTATGTAATGTTTATTTATTGCATTTATTCACTGTTTATTTATTCCATCACAGAAAAAAGTTTTATTCCTTCCACTTTCTGACACACACACTCACCCTCACACACACAGTGCCACTTACAGGACAAAAAACAAAAACAAAAACTAAAACTTCCAACCTTATCAGCCTTCTCAAGTGATGAGCATCCTAGCCTTGCCGAGTCCTGCACCTGCAGCCCATTTCGCTCTCACTGTTCACATCCAGCTTGGTTTTAGTGAGACGAAAACAAGGCAGGATCCAGGATACCAACAACAAAGTAGATTATGGGTGGAAGGATTTTTAACACAGTGGTGAAGGAGGCTTCCCCATGTACGTACCCTATATGCAAACAGAAACATGCGGTGGGGCTCTCGCAGGGAGGCGGCGGGTACCTCGGCAGCCCCAGGCAGGTGCAGTGCCTCTCACCTTGCCACCAAGCCGTGGACGGCCATGTCTGACCAAATTTGGTCAGGTTTGTTCTCCTCACCCTGTAGCCAGGACTTTCTGGAAAAAGCTCATAGGAAACAATTCCAGCCCTCCAAGCTGTGCAGAAGAGGTCAGAAGTATAGGCATGAAACATTTAACCAGAGCAACCCAGAGGTGACTATACAACGTTTAAAAGTTGGGGTTTTAAATATATATATTTTTTGTAGTCCATTTGCAATCACTGCTAGTCTTGTGCTTTGGAAGGGAGCGTAGGAGAATCACTTTTTTTTGGATAGTCAGGACCATTTGAGCAGGTTGAAGGGTGACTATCGGTGGCCCAGACCTACCAGCCAGACCAGATGCGCCCCCTCACAGACTGAGCACGCACAAGCAAGGCTGGGCCCTGGCTGGGGACCCTCCCAAAGCTCACGGGGGCTCACCAAGCCTGCCTGGCAAAAACCCACACAGAGGGAGCCTGGACCACATCTACCATCCTTCGACTGCAGTGCAGACACAGTATCTCCTAAACGAGAGGGCTGTAGGACATCTGGTCTGCTCAGAAGTGTTTTGCACTGTCTGCGAGGTCAGGCAGGACAGTGTCATCATGCTTGTTAAACCCTGCGGATAAAAGGCACGTACCCTGGGTTCTCGGGTAGCCGCATCCTAGCCCTGCACAGCTGATGAGTCCTGTAGGTTCAAACCTCTCCTCCAGGAGCCCAATGGCAAGGGGAACACACACAGATAGGTAAAGAAAAGCAGAGAAACTGTCATGCAAAAAAATAATTTAATTTTTAAAATTGTACACAGGGGTGGTTTGTTTCAAGAACAGAGAAAATCTAAAAGCAAAGACTGACGTTCACCTTGCTGGTTGTGCTCAGTTACTCAGTGCAGTGCTGAAGCTTTTGATAGTTTGTGCAAACTGCAAATTTTGTACATCCAGGCAGTGGTGGCCAGTTCTGCTGAGTTACAGAGCCAAGCACCTGGTGTGATAGGAAATTACTTAGCGGGGACCCTCATGGTGCCACTTCTGGAATATCTTTAGGAACTGTATGAATGACAGACATACAGCCCACCCAAGGCAACGACACTTTAAAGTAAGCAATTTTCTTAAGGCTATAAAAGGGGATTTGCCTAGTTCTTCATAAATGCCAACCAGAACAAAGTAAAGCAGAGTTCAAAGTTAAGTAATGTAAAATTAGTAACTAATTATTAATTAGGAACTAATCTTGAAGTGAAAAATATTTTGCACTTGAAAGTACAAAAAGAGAAAAAAGGCATTACACTATTTAGTAGTTGATTTTTTTATCCTCTTTTAGAAAATAAAAAGAAAAAATTTCCAAACATTCTGAAACTTAAAAACTTCTAAATTTTGAGCTAGAAATTTTATGAAATACACATTTCTGCAAATGTTACAAGAAAACTCATGGAGTTGTATTAACTATCATATAAATCATTCTGTTCTCGAGCATGGACTAGAGAAGACACTGGAAGATATGGTTATGTCACACTTGGGGAAACGTCTTCATGATGGCTGCAGGTGGAAGTCATGGCCTTCATTTCTCCCTAAGAAAAATAATCACAAAGATATGAAAGGATGAACACTGCAAGAAAATGAATGGATCAGAATGCTCGTACCTACAAGAGCAAGGGCGCTGGGGAGGGCAGGTAGCCACCTCCAGTGTGGCACTCAGGAATACGTATTCAAAATCCATGCTCGCATCACATTGACAGGCCCTGTCCTTAAGGAGCACCTCAATGCTAGCATTCCAATCACACGGTAGCAAAGCTAGGGCATATTTTTGGCAATGGCACCCTGCTGGCTAGTTCAGGTCAAAGATGCAAATAAGTCTAAGACCTCCATCCCTGCCGCTGTGGAGGGCTCTGCTCCACTGCAGTGGAGGCTCCCTCTGCCCCACGAGTACCTTGGGGGGTATTTGGGTTTTGCACGGTTGATGACCGGGTGCTGCAGGGGCGTTACGATGCCTTGGTCGGGTTTCTGGAAGGCGGAAATGAGGTTCTGCACTTTCCGAAAGAGCCTCCGGTGGACCCCGGGTGCTGTCTGTGAAGCCAAAGGGTGAGAGGTGAGAGGCGATGCTGGATGCTGGGCGCTGGCACAGAAGCCCTGTCCTCAGAAATGCACACACCACCCCCACCACCCCACCCCCCGGGGGAAGGACCCAGCCCTTCACTTGGACCTCCTGATGTGCAAACTTAAAATAATTCAATGAGTCGTACTGCTCTCCTCCTTCCCCAGGGCATCGCAGGCTCCCTCCACTAAGAGTGGCTTCCAGCAGTATAGTGATACTAGCCTGGAAGAGGGACGATTCCTTAATCTCTACAAGAGAAACCCAGAGCCTGCCATGCTTATTAGGTAAATTCCCAAGTGATCTTTCGATATTTCTGACCCTGATTTATTGCAGCCAGTGATTTAACCTCCAGCCTGGGGTTTATCAGTAATATACTTCCAGCCTGGAAATACCAGTAAGACAATCTAGAGAGCTACCTGGCACTTGGTGGGGAGGGGAAGTCCTTACACCGCTAAATTCAGGAGTGAACACAGCCTCTTTGCACGCCTTTCCCCAAGCATTCAATACTGGCTGATGTGCTCATTAAGTATTCCTCTCTCTCTCTCTCTTGCACAAAGGCAGCGGCAAAATCTCACCTATTTATTAAAAGTGGGAGTTTTCTTCCTTTCTACGTTAGCATCTTTTCAAACACTTTGAAATGAAACTGTGTCAGCTTTTAATAAAAAAAACCGTTTCTGTTAAATCCTTCAGGGTATTCTCGTAATAACTCCTCCCCACCAAAGTCATGGGAGGACAAGCCTAGGTCCTGCCGGCATAGTCCCACCCGAGGGACACTGCTCCCACCCAGCAGACATGGGCTAAATCCTGCCTCACTGGCACCAGCCGGAGGCTTCACGCTGCCTGGGATTTCACCACGCTGTTTTAATTTCCCTGCTTAGTCCTTGAAAGGCGGGTGCAACCCGAGCTTGCTCAGAGACTAACCAGCCACAGGGAGGGAAGCAGAGACAGGAAAGCACCAGCTGCAGCTGGAGCTTGTTTTGGCCTTGGAGGCACATTTTGTGGGGATAAGTTGGATTTAGGCTGCTGCGTCTAACAGCTGAGACCAGCGTGGTCTTAGCAACATTTACTTAAAGGTTTCCATTTGCTTAAAGGAGGATTTGGTATCATGGGTCTTTAGCTAGCACCTTTCCCTGCAGAGGATGTATTGAGAGTCCTGGGCCTTCAGGACACTTACGCTGTGAAACACAGATAAGGTTTGCCTAAACTACAGCGAGGGAAAACCCAAGACCCATACGTGTAGGAAGCCAGTGGAGGTCACGGGGGAGGAGTTGTAGCAGGTCTCTATAACACCAGAAAAAAGAAAAAAAAAAACCTCACTGCAGACACTGACATTACCCGGGGCCAAAGCAGGCTGCAGCCTTGCTCAGGGAATTATCCTCTGCAGGTGGGGGTCCCTGGGGGTCCTGGCATCCTTCCTGAGACACAGGGCTTGCCCTGGCACGCCGGGCACACTACAAAATCCCATCCCATCCCAAAAACCCTCCTGTTTGGGCAGTGCAAAGCTCCAGGGTGCTCCCGATGCCTTACAGGAATGAATGAGCAAATTCTTCCTGGGTACTATTCCCAAGGGTGACACGGATAATTATTTACTCCCTTTTACTCCCCGATCTGCTTCTGAGTAACCCCCAGAATCAGTCTTGTCTTCCAGAGCACTGCAACCACTTCTATTATAATAATGCCCAAGGAATTATGCCTGTCTAGAAATTATTTCATGTTTGTAATCAGTGTTCATTAATGTGCAAACAGAAAGCTGATTATCCAGCTAAAGAACAAGACCTTCATAAAAGAAATACGGGTTAGCATCCCAATTCCATCAACCTAAATAATTGTGTGTATTGCAAATGATGCTATACTAAACTTGAATTATCAATTTCTTATCAGATAGGTGAAAATATATCTTGTATCAAGTTTTGGCTAACCTATATATATGTTTTGCACCAATAATGAATTAATCTGGAGAGGAATTAACTTTAAAACACTGTAGATGATGATTGAAAATAATTTCCTTAAATATTCTGACATTAACGATACATGAGATATAGAAGGGAACTGATTGTGCTTGTCAAATTATAAAAACACAATATTTTTGCCATTTAAAATGATGCAAAATAATGCACTATTGCATTATGCAACAGCTGAAATGAAACAGGGAATTAATTTATGAGTTCAAGACTGTCAGAAGTGGCACCAAGACATCTTAGTGATGGGCACACTCAAGATCGATTACCTTCGATGAAAATCAGACTATGCAGAAACATTAATAATTTGAATGTATTTCATTAAATCAATGCGAGCATCAAACAGGATGTAGAAATTTTCAGAAGAGAAGAGAGAAGTACACACCTCAGCAGACCAGGACCCAGCTTCTGTCTTGGACACTCTGTAGGTATAAACATATCCCTTATGCCTGTGAAAAAAAAAAATAAAATCAACAGGTATTTATTACTCGTTTCTACTGTCGGGTTTCACAAGAGGTACACCTGTTATGTGGGAGTTACTTCATCTGCTAGCCTTTCCTTAGTAATAAATTCATCCATAGAGGCTCTAGGCAGACAACAGACCTGAGATGCAGGTGAGAAGCAATGTTCAACCTACTGGGTTCTTCCGGGACGAGAGGGATTGGCCTGACTCAGATCTAGTTTAGCAATATTCCGTTATTTTAGGTTAAGTGACATTGCTTTCATTCAGCATTTTTGTTTTTCGTGACCTCCTTTTACTGACACACACCAGACATACTTTCCCTGGAAAAATAGAAGGTGTATTATAGGCAGATAACATTACTGTTTTGTGATTGATTTAAATGCAGATGTTCCCACAAGCAATAGCAGGAGTGTAATTTATTTGGAAAGCTAGGCCCACAAAAGCCAGGTAAATTACTCTCTGCCTTGCCCATATGTTCCTAATTCTCAAATACTGATAAAGCAGAGTCTTATATAGGAGTGTGGAATCTTCCTTCTTTTTAAATCTGAGTCTTTTGAGAATAGAGAGCCATACACTAATAACACAAGACATACTCGTGTCCAGAGTCAGTCTTGCTTCTCTTACGAACCCAACACAGCGAATGATTTACATGGTGGATTATTATACCAATATCCAAAAATGTAACTCAGAAGCAGAGACAATTGATAGTAATTTCATGGGTGCAACATTAATTTAGATGGTATCAGATAAGAAAGATTGTATTTCATATTACATAGATTTACATGAATACACAGCAGGATTTTAGGGGCTATTCCCTATTTCAGCATCAATTCTTATACTTAAGAAAGCAGAAAAATACTATATTTCCTTCAATTATACATGGTATTATAGTAGTTACTACAAAATAGCAGAAACCATCAATGACACAGATACCGTATGATTGCAATTACCTACGCTCCGTGTCATGGCTCCTGGATAAATTCTTGTTAAAAAGTCATTACAGCAACCTCTGCAAAGCAGTGTCTGATATAATTTACCTGAGCAGGAAGTTGTTAGCAGTTGTCACACTGCTATAACCCCACGAAGTGGGAGCAAAAATGCCTGTCGTGATTTGTGAGCTATCCCCCCACCACTCAACTCCCACTGTGATTAAATTCGGAGGCGGAAGACACAAAGCCATTCCCTCCCGTCGGAGCAGCTGCAGGGACAAATTCCCTGTGCCGCAGCTGAGGCACTGCCCTCCTCCCCGTGTACGGGAATATGCCTGGCACAGCCCCACGGTCCCACCACAGCTTCATCCACCTCTTCGTGTTAACCAAGGGAGCGTCTTCCCCAGAGACATGACTTTCCACCTGTCACCAGGTAGACATGAAAAGTGTCCGCGCTTACTTCATGGAAACCTAAGGAGGAGAACAGCCACCGCTACCCCAATTCTTCCCCAGCAAGTTCAGCTGCTGCAGTCCATCAAGGATTTGGACGGGCCCAGAAAGGGCCCTTGGGAAGACATGTGAGCAACCTGCTGTGTCTGCAGGAGGAGGGAAGGACGTGGAAGGGCAACACTGTTCTCCTGACCATGCCGTGGCACCATGGTCACTGGTGTTTGAGGCCACAGCTCAAGCCTGGTTGTTGAAAAGCACATGCCTCTAAGCCACTAGATACATTCATGTTCCGTGAATCCAATGTCTCTCATTAGGGCCCTTAGACCATCTCAGACTATCACGTCCTTTCTCAAAACCTCTGGGGGCTGTGCCTTTACTGTCAGCTTTTCATGAGTAGCTGATGTTCACATGAATCTTTTCTATTTAGAAATCACGAGGGGCTTTCCTACACCAACATATGTAGCACATCACCCAATATACCAAAACTAGGATTTTACAGGTCATCATGTACTGAGAAACACCAGAGAGGTCCTGGCATTTTGTCCCCTCTCTTTGAAGTGGGTATCTGACCATCTCCACCGTTATTTTTTTTTCAAGCCTCAAAGTCAACGGAATGAGTATATAAAAATCTAAAACTCACTCTTTTGCCTCCTGTTTTTAATGATAAACTGTGCATATTACCCATGCTTGTCCTTGGTTGTCCCAGAGCATTCCGACTGCTTCAGTCTCTTTAAAATCTGATTTTTCCACAAAAGGCTCAGTTGTCTGGAAAGCAACCATCTGTTTTTTCTTTCATCATTTTCTCTACCTAAGAGGTTGCATGACTTGAAGTAGTTGAGGGGCTGGGGTGATACCCTGACTCTGAAATGTCTGATGGCTTTCAGCACTCTGCCAAAAGGGTTTACTAAGCCGGACAAATTGAAAAATAGAGGTCAGATGAAGTAATATTCAGGGCCAAAGCAGCGTGAGGTATAAGATAGACACCTATCCTGCATTTTTCAAAAAATTCCACTTGAAAATATTTCAACCTAGCCCAGAGAAAGCACAAAGGATAGCTCAGATTAAAAACCCATGAGATACAGATAAAGGAACAAGAATTTGGGAACATGGGTGCTGTGAGCACAGTGTGGAGAGCGGGAGGAGCATGACATTGCTATCAGAGCCTTGTGAGGGACAAGTAAGAGCTCTCCACTCACCTGGCAAATGTACATTTCTTTCCCAGAGGAGGAAAGACTGAAAAGCCTGAAGGGGTTTACTGTGCTTAAGCTGAAAAACACAACGTTGTCATCTGTTCTTGGCCCTGAAGCCATCAGTAAGCCACTACGTAGATGGGAAATGGCCCAGGACCACGACACCAGCTTCTTTAAAGGAAATGCACAAAGGAAGGAGGACGCATTTTGTTAAGAAAGTGAACAGCTAGATCTTTCCATCTAGCTACTTTCCATTGGGATCTTTGTTTCCACAAAATGAATTACAGCTCTTCTGATAAGTACTCTCCCAACAAATATGATCTTATCAAAACTTTCTGTTAAGCAGCAGGAACTTACTTCATTACCACTTCAAAGTGCTTTTTACCTTGCATGTGCAAGTGACATGATTTTGATGAGCCAAGTCCTCTTTACAGCTACATGGGCACAGCCTCCCTTGAGAAAGGTTTTCATGATTTAAACTACCCAACATTAACTGAGAGCAGTGTAGACTGAAGAAAGATCAACATGTTTTTCTTTTAAAACAAAATTTAAATACAAAAATTGACATTGATATTGTATAGAACATTACCTTCCAAAGAGCAAAATACATAACACCAGGCAAAAGCAGGTTTAAAAGTGCATTTACTGGAGCCTAGGTCTCAGGAGATGAGAAATTCCCCAGCCACCATACGGGGACAGCTCAGTTTTCTACATTTTACTCAATTCATGGCAGAAAAAAGCTCCTAGTGTGACACAATGTTCCTAGTGTGGCCACACAGCTAAAGCCAAAAACCAAACACTATGTGGCCTGGGCATGTCACTTGGGCTCTCTTACACAGCTTGTACATTGAAGCCTCACCTGGTGAGATGGAGGTCAAGTCTGCCTCTCGGTGACTTGACCTCCTCTCTCTGCTGGACAAAATCAAGGAGATGATTGACACATGTCGCTGAGAGAAGGATTTTGGAGAGCACTGTTACAGTGACACTGGCATATCTTGGAGGAGAACCAGCTCTTGACACCCAGGCAAAGACCCAACGAAGGGCTCCCCCATCCCTTCGTCTGGCCCGAGGACAGCCACAGGCCTCGCTCACAATTGCAAAGCTCCTCTTTCATGCCAGTGAAGCTCAAGGGACAGGAGCAATCGTGAATTAACAGCTTGATCAAGGAGGCCCTATAAATCTTTGATCAAAGGCAAAAAAAGTCAAAATGCTGATGAGGAGAAGCAGAAAACAGTCATTGTTTTAAGGACAATATTGGATAGCGTTTATGAAAGAGTGGTTTGGTCATCACTGATGATATTTTTATGTCATCTCACTTAATTTTTCATCTCCATAACAAAGGATGTGTTATACCAGCTGGGAACTGCACTAGCACTGTCTTTGTTACAATACCATCACTGGGAAAACTTTGTCAAAGGAAAATCTAGAAAAAGTTGCTATTACAGGAACCAGTCCACTTTATATTATAGACTTTTTTCTTTATAGCTAGATAATTCCTCCCAAAGAGCTACAAAGGCATCATTCACAGATGACATACTGAGATAGCATCTGTCTACCTGTCCTCTCCACTCCTCCTTTTCAACTGTGATCAGACTTGTTAAAACCGCATTTACTTTAACAGGTGAATAATTACCATCTTCTGCACCACTGAAATAGCCAGAGGATATTAGCCGCATGCTGCAGATTAAAATTAACCATGACATTTCAACTGCATGGTATATTTTAAAATAATTTCCAAATGTTTGTATCTCAGTTGGGAAATTTTATTAAACTAATTTGTATTTATTTCTGGGTCCAAAATGGAACAAAAATAGAAAGACAGAGAGACAGGCAGAAAGCCATGTCAGCAATAAACGACACCAATTTCTTCCTCTTTACACAGCTTTCTCTTCTGATGCCTTTGCACTCTACCAATCAGCTCTTCTTACCTGGTATATTTGCATCCTGACCTTACCTTGGAATTTTACTTTACGATATCACTTAAGAACCAGCCAGTGGTGTGGCCTATAAACAGTGGTCCTGAGCGTTATATACTGCCCATGTTCAGTTTCTTACAACTTTGCCACATTTCAGCCTTTCAGACTGAAATTTTGTTTCTTGGCTGTTTGCCTCAACCTTATTTTGGGATGGAGAATGCAGAAGTGCCAGGAAAGGAGACATGTTAGGAAAAACAATGTTTTTCCTGCATTAAAAAAACAATCTTCCAATTGCTGTTTTTTTGCTCATTTTTTAGAGTAAGACATGAAATTGATTGAAGGACAGGCAGTCTCTGAGAGAAAGCAGTGATGGCTGGCTGGGCTGCAAGAGAGGTGCTCTCTAAAAGTTCTTAGCAGTTGTAGTTGCACCACACCTGGGCTGGCTGCACCATGGGCACTCAGCTAAGCAGTGTCCACAATCTTAAGCCATGAGCGATGTAT